ATAATTGTTTGGATACACTATATTTTTAATATACTAGTTGTGATAATTTCATGCCAAATAAAAATGTCCATAGTCATATTTTCTGTTCCTAAAGTAACAGAATGACTTTCAATCTATAAAAGACAAAAGAAATGCTAATGTAGCATTTTTTTCAATTTTTCCGAAAATTTCCGTTTCCCCCCGAAAAAAACCGTGAAAAAAACGGGTTTTTTCCCGAGCTTCAAAATTTCCGGAAATTTTACATCTCTAGGCAAGAAGCCTGGGTGAGCTGGGCTCCTCCATGCCTGGCAGAAGATGAGGTGCAGAGGCGAGAGGTGGGCAAGCAGAAGAGGCACTCAGCCAGCCGCACAAGCTGCGTGCAAAGAAACTCCCACCGTCCCAAGCTTCAGGGCTGCCTCGTTAAAGGAGTGTGGAGGCCAGACTCGCAAATGAGAAAAAGCAAGCTCAGGGTTCGTGGGTCGCATTTTGGGCTGTGGAAGAGGAACCGGTTCCATTCCTGGAGTTCTCTAGAGTTCCTGCGCTTTTGGTTTTGCTTTTTGCCAATCCGCCTCCCAAGACTGCTCCAGGTGCTCCGGCCTGAGGGCTGCTGGGGGTGGGGCTCGAGTGCTCATTACTTGTGGAGCTGAGGCTCAATGTCTCCAGCTGCTCCGCCACCTTCCCTTCCCTTGGTTTGCTCGGGGAGCCCGAGCAAGCCGGCTGCTGGAGGGAAGGAGAGGCGGTTTAAACCACCTTCCCTTGGCTTCCTCAGGATCCCCTGCTGCGGGCCAAGTTAGATTCTCTGATCTGAATTGGCTTCCCGCATTTCGGCCCCATTATATCCTATGGGCCATTGAAGTCAATGGCGAAAACATAGGGTATATTCTTGGGGGCTGGAAGAGAGGGGGTTTGAGGGAGAGGCTCCAAAACCGTAGGGTAGCTGCTGGAGCCTCTCCCCAAGATACCCGACATGTTTCAGGAACATTGAACCAGGGGGTCCAATGTTCTTCAAACTTGGCTACTCGGACATCACACGCAAGAGGTGGAATTTGCCCCTACAAGTCCAAGGCCAAGGGAACATTTCGCCCAGCTCCTCCCCACGCGCGTCGCAGCTGCTGCTGGAGAACAGCGATGGCGGCTATAACTTTTTAAAGAGCCCCTTCCGAGAGCTGGGGGAGCCAGAATGGCCTCTTGCATTGCCGCTCGGACATCACATGCGAGAACCGCCACCACCACAGGGCTCAGGGAGGCAGGAGAACCCCCCCATACACACACCGTGTCCCAACTGATGGCTGGTGGGAGCAGGGGGCAGGGCTTATGTGCCCACCCACTGGGCTCGTCCAATGTTCCCTCTAAGCTGAGTTAGTGTGAGCTGGCTCAGTTTTTTAGTCTCCAGCTCACACATTTTTGTCTTGGCTTAGGAAGGATGGCTCCAGAGCAAACTGATTATGCAGTAGCCAAATCACCTGCTCACAACTCTAATGCCAGTAGCTCACAAAGTAGAATTTTTGCGGTGCGTGCGCTCTGGCAGGAACCGATGCCTGGTGATAAAGGGTGTAACATCCTATGTTTACTTGCCTGCGCGTACGCTTCATTAAACATGGTAAGACTTAGTTCCGAATAAAGAAATCAGACCGCAAAAACGCTTCCGCTTATTACTCCAAAGGGAGTGACAAAAAGACAGCAGACAAAACATGTTGTAGCTTAAATATTTTAATTAATATCGAAACGAGCTGCTCACAAAGCTGCAACCGCTATCCAAACGTTATTCAGAACTACGCCAGAGAACTCTTCGCTCAACTAGAAGAGCTTGGAAAACAGCGCATGCGTGCACAGTCTCCATTCTCCTTTCGAGAAGCGCTCCGGTGGAACTATCGCGAAATACTGTAAGATCGCGAGATCTTATGAATGACGGATACCGAAACAAACTGAGGCGCCGAGCGGTTTGTTATATTATAGGAAAGCTGCCTCGGACAGCCTTTACCTGGTATCGTGTCCCCCCTTCTGGTCGGTGATGGCGGCGGCTATGACAACGACACCCCCGGCACACTGGCGCCGCTTCGAGCAGGAACAAGACCTCACCGTGCGAGAGTTGATACGGCGGATAACCGGCCTGAGCGAGCGGAGCGACGAAGAGCTCCCCGGCCAATTCCAGGCAGCGTTGAATTTCGCCTGGTCGAACTTCAGGTGGGGGGGGGGGAGAGGAGGATGTGGCACGCGATCGAATTCCCGTTGGCCAATGGGAGGCGAGGGTTTTTAAGTGTTGCTCCCCGTTTAGAATCACCGTGTCAGGCAGCTGTGGCTCCGTGGTAGAGCATCAGCTTGGCATGCAGAAGGTCCCAGGTTCAATCCCTGACCTCTCCAACAAGGATCAGGTTGTAGGTGTGAGATCTCTGCCTGAGTCCCTGGAGAGCTGCTGCCACTGCTGCCAGTCTGAGTAGACAGTACTGACTTTGAGGGACCAAGAGTCTGATTCAGTATAAGGCAGCTTCATGTGTGTGTACAGTGTCTCTGCTATGAAGGCTCCCGTTATGGCTTCTGTGGAGTAAAACCCTGGGAAGCTCAGAGACGGATGGGTTAGGTGAATCAAAGCTTGAACTTGTCTCCAGTTCCTCCTGGGGTTTCGGTGTTTATCTTTGTATGCGTTTGGGTTATGCAGAGCAGTGTCACAGATCTGCTTAGAGGGATGTACTACTTGGACCTCTTGTTTTCCCACTGTCCTTTGGCCCATGTGTTTGCATGTTTTCCCTCAGTACCATATCACCCTGATATCTGTACCATATCTGAAGGAGGCTCTAATCATTGCAAGTTTGTGCTACAGTAAGTCTTTATAATACCAGAAGTCTAGTTTTAATGCTACAGGCTACTGCGGGATAAGTCCCCACAATTTAATTGGAATAGTCATCCCTGGAATTTTTTCCTTAGCATCTGGTGAACAGAAACTGCAAATGGATAAGGAGGTTCCATTTTTAGTTATGGTTAATATAGTTTTTGGTAAATCTCCATTAATTTGTTCAAGCCTGGGGGTTTTTTTTTGGGGGGGGGGAGAGATCTAGCTGCTGGGTACCCATCTTGTCACTCCCAGATGTGTAAATTGGCTGTAAAAGTACTGAGATCTGTTTGCGCTTAACATGCTGCTTTTGCAGACTGACACTGAACGCTCTGAAAGTATTTTGTTCAGTTTTTCACACAGTTCCTAATTGTTTGTATCTTCACCATATCACATTAGCTTTATTTTTCATAGACTAACTAATCACAACTTCATGTATGTCTGCCTTAAGGGAGATGCTTCAACCATCAGATGACTTCAGTTGCTCTTTCATAGATACGTTTTCCAACTCTATAGTTTCCTGCTTTTGAGTTCCGGTAGCTAGAACTAGCCCCGACCTAGATAATCCAAGGTAGCCTTATCTCATCAGATTTCAGATGGGAAGCAGGGTCAGCCCTGGTTAGTACTTGGGTGGGAGACCTCCAACGAAGTCCAGGGTTGCTAAGCAGAGGCAGGTAATGACAAACAACCTCTTTTAGTCTGTTGCCTTGAAACCCCCATGAGGGGTTGCCTTAAGTCTGCTGTGACTTGGTGGCACACGCACACACAGAGCTAGAACTGTATACTACTTTATATACACTACATTCTGAAATGCAAGAAGAAGAAGGTATGTTTTAGGACATTCATAGAACCATCCTAAGAAAGTTGCACCCTTCTAAGTCCATGGAAGTCAGCGGGTTTAGAAAGGTATAACTCTGCTTATGATGGTACTCACGCATCATGCTAAAGGATATTTGCCCCATCATTACATGTGAATTTCACAGTGGAACAAATAGTAGCTCCGTGGGTATGGAAAGGCTGCAGTCCCTTCTATTCATGCACCATAGTTGTGGTCTGAATGTTTTCACGGAGTGTCTGGGAGGCACAAGATTCTTGGCGTGCATGTGTGATACAGAGTCCTGGTTGAGTTAATCAGGATTCTGTATTCAGTGAAGTGGACCTTAGTGATAGGCTGTTGAATGAGCAATCTTACCTTTTCCTAGCATCTGTTGCTCATTCTCACAAAAGCTTATGCTGAAATAAAATTTAGCCTGTGAGAGTTATCTTTCAAATGTTGTAGCAGCTGCTTGTGGGCGAAGCCAATAGTGCCACAGTAGCTTGTAAAGGTCTACAGAGTTGTGGGTGAAGCCAATTACACAGATGTTTGACATGAAATTGTGCCCCCATCCCAATCCTCACTGAGTGCCAGTTTCACATTAAAGACTGATCCTGCCCATGTGGTTATGAGCCTTTAGAATCAATCTATTAAATGCACTCTCATGGTATAAGATATCTGGGAGACTTGCGAGAAGCGCACCATCCAGCATTGATTAAATAAAACATAAGGGTGTTAACAGTGCTGCCCCTTGTGCTGGAAGGAAAGGGCTCCATTTTAAAGCCATAGAAGCAGCTTGTGGAAAATACCTTGGTGATAGAAGTCATGCTTTGCAGTGCATAATTGCTGGCATATTTTGGGAATTAAGTTGTTGATGAGTTCTGCAAAGATGTGTCTACCCTATCAATATGATGCTAAGAAATTGTAATACATTGTCTTTCAAGTGTAGGAAAAACAGCGAAAGAAAAAAAGAGAGCTTCTTTTGCACAGAAGAGCAGCATTGGTTGCTGAAACAGATAAAGCCAAACTACAGATAGATATTCAGATGTTATTCAGTGAACTGGATAGCCAAGAGACAAGTAATTTATAAATAGGCGCAGAAGAGAATCATAACCCAGTATGAGGAAACTCTGTGATGGTATTAGAGTTGCCAACATCCAAGTGGGGCTTGGAGGTTTTCCCAGCATTACAACTGATCTCCAGACCAGAGAGATCAGTTCCCCTGGAGAAAATGAAAGCTGTAGAGAGTAAACTGTATGATATACTATTCTGGGTGAAATCCCTCCCCAAATTCCCCTCTCCACATGTACAGCCTCCAGATCTCCAGGAATTTCCCATGCTGGAGATGTCAACCCTAGACAGTATAAAAGATTAACTTGTGCTATTCTGTCTTTTCCCCCTAGGGTTGCCAATTCACAAAATGCAAATAGTTGCCGCAAGCTTATTCTGCTGCTTAACCCCTATTTATCAGCACTTTGATACAAAGAGTTATTTTTCTGTACTTTTAATCTAGATTTCATCAATTTCTTGATGTCAGCAGTCACAAAATAGAGAAGGTAGTAGATGGGTAAGACCATTCTGTTTTTTACTAAACTCTGTTGATTTGTTTAAATATTTTTATCCTGCCTCCAAAAGGCTAAGGGGGTGGTGGTGAACAACCATATATACATGTTAGGAATTAAAGAATGAATAAATAAAACATCAACTAAATATTTACATGTAGAAGTAAAAACTCAGTTATTTCCACAAGTGTGTAAATATTACCAACTGCCAATATATGCAAAAATCCAAGCCAGAAAAATAAATTTAATTGGCCAGAAGAAATTCAGTTGTCTACCATGATAGTTCAACCAAAAGCTTCTGGAATAACCAGATCTTACAGGCCTACGGGAGTGGGGGCTTAGCACACCTTTGGGCAGACAGTTTCTCAAGTTCCTCATTTGACAAAAGCCAATTCCTTGTAGATACCAACCAGACACCACAAGTAGATGGCATGTTAACAGAAAATAATGGGCAGATCTAAGCAGGGTCTGTATTGGGAGAGGGAATTTTAAAAGATTTGATGGGTTCTTTATGTTTGAAAGATTAATTGATGAATGTTTAATCTTTTAACATTAGGATTTATGAAAAGCTGATTGTTCATTCAGACCTCACTAAAGCTGCAAGCTGGAAGAGATTAGTAGAAGAATTCCTGAATTCACCTTTTCTAACCCCTGAAGGAACAAAGGTATTCAATTTTATCCTATTGTGATTGGTGCTTTTACAACATCAAGTATTCTGGGAACTACAGTTCCCAGAAAGCACTTGGCTCCATGAATGCTGTAAGTTGAAGTCACTAATAGGGAGGGAAGGAGAGAAAAAAAGGACAGAAGAAGGAGGCAGGAATTCTCCCTCATGGTGGTGCCAGCAGGCAATTGGAACCTTACTCCTTAGCAGCAGGACAGATGATTTGGAAGGGAAGGGGGAATTGTTCTCTGGCTTGGCTTCAATATCATCCTAGCCACAGAAGAATTTGGCATCTGTGAAGCTTGCCTCGCTTAGAATCTAGGCTTTGAGTTGCTGAGGTTTAATCTGTGAGTCTAAAGAGTATGAACTTCAGAAGCATCTCTAATAAATAGGGAATTTGAAGTGGAGTGTGGGCTGGACCTATGAGCAAAGTACTTATACCTCTGTTTTGGGGACCCTGGTTATAGAGTAGCAGATATCCAGAATGTGAAGAAACTATGGCATCTTGAAGAGACTTCTGTTTTGCAGGTAATTTTCTAAATATTGCCAAGCTTGTGCTCAAGTGATTTTTCAGATAAAGCAAGCAAAAGTTTCACTTCAGCATTCTTGCCAAAAAGAACATCATATGCTAAGAGCAGTTGAAGAGAGTGTTCTAGTTGGCATATGGAGACTGGAAAAAACAGTGGGAATTTGCCCTGAACCTTATAAACCAGGTTGTAGAAATGTGTGTACTGATTCAGCTCTGCTAATTGAAATACACTGTTATATAGTCTGATGCCTTTTGTTACTTATGCAGTTTTGTATCTTGACTCCTGCTGTGGGATGTTCTTGAGTAAGCCACTAAAGCTGTTATCTTGTATATCAATATGTCACTGTATCAGGAAGATCTGCTCTGTTATACATTTATTCCCTTCACTGAATTTCTTGTTTCTGTTCTATGTTCAAGACAAACACCCATTATGCCATACTCTCCCTTCTGTTGTGCCTGTCAGAGTCCCCTTCCAATACCAGCTATTCTGAAAAACCAAGAGAGAAAGAAGTGGGTAGGTTTTAGATTACTACTTATGTTTATGAAAGTATCCTAGAAATCAAGTGTAAAACCTGATGTTTTGCCACTTTTGTAATGTCATGTAACACGTTTGTTAAAATCATGTCAAGCCCTTTTTATTTTGTAAATTATTGTAGTTTTTTAGTCACGTTACTAGTATTTCTTTTTAAAAAATCTCTCAAAGCAGCAGTAGTTCAGCAGACTTGTTTAATTCTTCTATAATTATAATGAATAGGATGGGAAGTCACTGAATAGGCAGTTGATCATAAGTCAATATCTCTTACAGAAAAAGAAGAATTTGATTGGGGAAAATACTTGATGGAAGGTGAAGAACTTGACTTTGGTCCTGATGTCGAAACACCGGTAATAGATAATGCTGCTTTATGAAACCAATTGAGGGAATTTTGCCCCCCTGTGGTCCTGAAAAATCCACACATAATGGTCCCTGCCACACGGCAGGGAAAAGGACGGCTGAACTGTGGCTAATCTGAGCCGCACCAATGTTGAGACGCCACGGCGGGATCCCACGGATCCCTTGTGCCACGGCGCGTCGCTCCCCGGCACGATCAGATGCCGGGGAGGAAGAGTCAGATGGGAGGGGGAGGCTGCCGAACTGTGCATGCTCGAGCATGTGCAGTACAGCCGGGGGCCGGGATGCGGCTGCGCAAGGACGCGCCGGCCGATCCCATGGCCCGGCTTGCGGCGCTCTACTGGAAACAACCACCTAGGTAGGTGGTTCTTTTTTAGTGCGCGTTTTCGGCGGTAGGGACGGATCAGGGATGGGCAGGCAACGATTCCCAGATGTTGCTGTGGGATCGCGCCCGTTTGCTCCGCCCCCGTTCCGTCCCCCTCCCGGCCCAAAACGCCTCGTATGAACAGGGCCAATGTAGGCTATTGTTGATCTGCACTGATAATGTGAAGTTGTGCACTGCTGTAGGGCTAATGTTGCTGTGACAATATTGACATTGTCAGTATTCTGGTTAACTGGCAAAAACAAAGGAAAAACAAACAAAAGCCCTGTTCCCTTTGTGAGGGGATATTACTAGCCACATAATTAAGAATGGAGTCTGTCTATTGAGATGTAGCATTCTTTTGATTGCCGGATGTAGGGGACTACTGATGTCCCATTCCCCCCCCCCCCAATTCTGCTTGCAAGCTTTCCAGTGACATCTGGTTGGTCAGTGTTGGAAGCAGAGTGGTGGATTAGTAGGAGGCAGTGTGCTAGACTAAATGGACCTTTGACCAAAGCAACAGTTGCTATGCCTTGGTAGTGTTTGCCCATGGAATGATTGAAAACCCTGAATTTTAATACAGTAAAAACTTCGTTAGCTGGCATTCTTGGGGAATTGTGGTTCCTGGTTAACCAAATATGCTGGTTAACAAAGGTTTTACCCAGTGACTTGTCTAGGTGTCCTGCTGGTTAAATAAGCTTTCTGGTTAACTGAGAGCCAGTGAACAAAGCTTGTATTGTGCTTTGACTGTAGGGCATGCCACAATACATTTTGTAAACTAAAAACTCTTATTTTATGTGTAACATAGGACACATCATGTTGACAGAAGCTAACAGAACACTATCCATTTTTGCAATAAAATTTGCTTTATATGGTAAAATTTTCCAGGAATGGTCTGACATAAGTGATGATGATAATGAGCCTTTGAGCAGGGAAGACTCTGGCATTCAAGTGGACAGGATGCCACACGAAGATCAAAGCAAGAAGGCTGTGTCTCATATCACTTGGAAAGGTTTGTTCTTCAAAGCTTTCATTATGGTAGGATATTGTATTGGAATGGGAGTGTTAATGTCACAACACAACAAACCTTTATTGGCATAACAACAGCAGCAGCCTTAGGTCCAGAGGCGGTAGGCACGCAAAACAGTTACCCTTCTGCCGAAAAAGAACTTCTCCTCCTATACGCTCTGTAAAGGAAGTTTGCCACCTCTTTGATGATATCAGCCTTGTTTGAGGCTAGAAGGTTCATTATCTTACTTTCCTCAGATTTGCCCTTCAGGGTTTGCAGTATAGGACCGAGGTGATAAGCGCGCAAATCCTGGTATAATCTACAAGTCAGAAGTACATGGTCCGTTCCTTCAATCTCCTTTAGTCCACAGGGACATAACCTATCCGGGAATGGTATTTTTTAAAATCTCCCATATAACACAGCTGAGGGGAGCCCATTAAAACAGGCCAACGTGAATACTCCTCTAATATAGGGATCAATCAGACAGGAAAAATACTTTGGCAGCAGCCCATTAAAAGAAATTCCCCAATGAATGGGAGAACAATGCCCAGTAGCAAGGCTTCTAATTTCTTGCACTTCTATATCGATCAATCTCTGTTTAATGATCTGTTATGCCAACTTCTCCAGGAAATTCCTGGAGACCCAATCCAAGTTATCTACCAAGGAAGTTGGGTGGTTGTGGCTGTGCGTAAGTTCTATACCAGTCTATACAGAGGTCAGATGGCCAATGAGACGCTCGCTATATCCCAGGAAGTGAGACAACACGCTAGGATTAAGAATAAATGTTGTCTTTACTAAAGGTTTCTGCAGTCATACAAAATCAGAATCACACACACAGTTATACAAGCTCCTTAGTTACAATAGTACATCAGAACAATTACAGCATAGAAAATAACAAAAGCATCAAAATGGGGATGACACAATGGGGCACGGCTATACTCATCTGAGGTCCAGCTGAGGGAGAACTCTCCTCCTTGGAAGGATGGGCAGCCGAAAGCAGCAGCTTGTGAACTCCAAGGCACACAGGTAGGACCAGCCAAACCACGTGTGAGCTCTCTGGGTCGCGACTCCGGAGAACTTAGGTAGTAGAGTCACTTGTAGCACCTTAGTGCACTGCTATGGGGAAGGTGGGTTAACCAGAGAGACAAAGGAGAGTTTCTCCTTAAATAAACTCTTTTTGGGGCATGTGCTATCCAGCCATAAACTATCAAACCCGTCCTCTAAACTATCACTACTGGATGAAGAGGGGGTGACGAGGGGATGACGCTCTACTAAGGGGTGGTGGCAATATGCAGATCCTATCCCTACATCAAAGGTGCCTTTTGGTGAGGTGTGAATCTTCCGTTCCCATGGACACCTCTTGACTTGCAGATCTGGTGCCTGCTCCAAGGCCATAAATGCTATTGTCTTCAGATCTCCAAACCAGATTAGGTGCAGAGGGTTACGTGATTCCTGGCATTCCGGTGATGTCGGGGTTCGCTGGGGGATTTTCCATAACTCTCCAAGTGGGTGCAATGGCGCGGTGTCTCCTCTATCCCGATGCAGGACGGGATACCTTCTCCAGGGAAGCACATGGTCCGTATGTGCAAGGCAGCCCCAGGCCAGCCTATTTCTAGGCAAGCATGAGATGCAGAACAAAGCAACACAACCAAACAGCAGTCCCTGAATACACATTGCATAGACACACATAGACAGCATCACCACTATACAGAAACACAAACATAAGTTCATATAGTTACACATGCCAAAAGCGTACTTCTCTGAAAGAAGGATCAAATCATCCATGTTAAGCCCCATCAGTGTACTTTTCCCTTCAACACATGTCAACCAATCTGATAGGTGAGATTTGCATAGCATACATAAGCAATGAGACTATTAGGCTCATTTCTATAGAGGCGGTGCAGCCAAAATTTAAAAGTTGAGAGCCATCCTTTAGTTACTAAGCATCTCTGGTTTGTCTCAATGTCTTTGTTACCTCCATGTGGTGTGTCACTGATGCTTTCAACAATTATATGTGGAAATTTGTACAGCTGACAGTTACATTCAAGTTGGCAAAATGTATGATCTTTTGTTAATTAAAGAAATGGCAACTCCATACCTTAACACTTGCTTTATCAATACCCTGGGGCAGCTGTGCAATTATTAGCATGTCCCTGTTCAGGTGTAACATTGGTTTCTGCAGGGTTGGTAAAGGTCCCCCCAACGTTGCTGGAACAGTAGCAGCTAGCAAGAATGACTTCTCCCCAAAAACCACAGTGACAAGAGCATGTGCCATATGCACTTTCGTTAGCCATTGAAGATCATAGCAGCAGATCACAGAAGCCTTCTGGCCTTGTGCAAGGCACAAAAGGGGCACAGCTGTTGCCCACTCCTCCAGTCAAACCAGGACTGCTGGTCTCGGCCCTTAGGGAAGCTCTGGCTCTCAGTGTGAACTGCCTGGGCAGTGGAGGAGTGCAGTCAGATTCCCCATCACAATCCCAGTGGTATTCTTGACTATACGCTTTAAAGGATACCTACCCTAAAAGCAGCTCTGACCTAGATGGCCCAGGCAAGTCTGATCTCATCAGATCTTGGAAGCAGGGTCAGCCCTGGTCAGTCAGTACTTGGATGGGAGGCTGCCAAGGAAGTCCAGGGTTGCTACACGGAGGCAGACAATGGCAAACCACCTCTTTTAGTCTCTTGCCTTGAAAGCCCTACAGGGTTGCCATAAATAGACTGTGATACTTTCCAACACCACCCGATTGCATTGAACTGGAAGGAGGAAACCAGCAGTTGCATGTTCTGCTTCCACTCTGATTTTTCACTTTGGGCGTCTATGTGCTATTCTTATTTGTATTAACAGTTAGAAGAAGAAGAGATTGGATTTATACCCTGCCCTTCACTACCCAAAGGTGTCTCTTGTGTGCCACAAAAGTTTCCCTTGTGTATAAATGGAAATCTTTTCGCTTGGAGTGACATGTCTCTTCTGTAGGTGAACCTGATGCACGTACTTGGCTGCAGCAGCATGTAGTTCCCCAGTACTGGACTGGCAGAGCAATTCGTTTTTCCCATAGTCTGCATTTTCATTCCAATTTAGCAGCTGTATGGTAAGAACAAAGTACATTCTGTCTCCAAAGTAGTTCATTCTTGATTAACTAACGGCTATCCCGTAATATCTAGAAACCCTTTCCTAGTAGCTCTGCATACTCTGAAATACTGTCTTATGTTATTTCTCCAGTCATCCTGTGCATCTCTCTCTTATTTTTTTTTCCTGGTGGCAAGTATATATGCAGTAATTATAATAATGCAGTAAATGAAAATCCCTTCCAGAAACTCTGATTCAGTTGCTCTGTAAGGAGCTAACATGGTAGCTTTGAAAAACTGCAAGACCTTAGGGAGTCTGCTTTTCTAATTTGATAAAGATGTCTTCCAAAGCTATATAAGTCTTAATTTTAGTACAGTGTGTGACTCTGAGATGAAGGGTGTTCTTTAAAATAAAAACTAAGAGCTTTGAATATCTGATTTGGGAATATCTGATGCTGCAGCATTGCTGCTCCAAGTGTGTACCTTATCAGTCTCAAGGACTGGGCACCCATGTAAAAAATAGTGCAATAGTTTTTGTTTTTTTAAAAGAAACCCTTTAACTTTACATGTGAGGAAGACATAATGGTTCATATATTTATGCCTTTCTGAAAGTTTTTAAAGGGTGAAGGGTTTCTTTAATTACATATAACTCCTTAAGTCCATTGGTGCTGACTGAAAGGAATAGTACTTGATATTCTTTAGTAGTAACGCCAGTTGTTACAAAATATAACTTTTGTCTTTAGGGAGCAGCACTTGTATAATAGCGATCCTCTGTATGTGCCAGAAGAGAGAATACTTGTCACTGAAACACAGGTGATTCGTGAAACCATCTGGTAAGCAGCACATTCAAAGCAGTTGCCATTTGAAATCCATTGCAAATTGTAGAATAATCTTAATTCCGTAAATTGTCATTGAACATTTGATGCATAGGTGATACGTTCAGAAAAGAGATTATTGTTCCCATCATATTGTACTATGATCAACCTGTTTCCAGGTTTTCCTAATCCTCAGAAGGCTTTTTCCTACACCTACTTCATTCTGCTCTTGTGAAAAAAAAAATGCTGTCCAACCATATTAGCATGCCACCTGGAAGATATGGTGTGCCTTTTCATGCCCTGTAAAGGTCTCACCCACATCAGTGCCAATTTTCTGCTGTTGGTCTCTTGCAAATGCCATTTTCCCATAATTTTTTCTGCTGTGCCACTGGAGGGCATTTTATCTCATTTTTGTTTTATTTTAGAAAACAAAGTAGTAGTATAGAGGGGATACAGAAAGGGAAAAAGGGATTATATAACTTAATTGTGTATATCAAGGATAATTATATATAACAGTGTATAAAACAGAGAATGTTTCTCCCCAACAATCCCCTTCATTATAATTTTTTAAGACATTGTCTATAAAATATGTTTCTGTTGGGGTACATTTATATTCAACAGGAGGGCTTTTTGAGGGTTTTTAAGTCAGTAATTGCAGTAGCTATAATGACCTATTGCAATAATGGTTCTATTAAAATAAGCAGCAACAGATGAAAATAATGCTGTAGCTCTATACTGGTGTAACAATCCTATTGCTACTTCTGTCGCTAATCTTATTAGAACTGTTAACAGCACTATAGCATATGCATGAAGAAAACAGCAAAACGGGGTGGGGGGGGGGCCCTAAGTGCACAAGGCAGCTGTGATGACCGGACCAC